GCCATCAGCAGAAATCACGGCGACTTGGCAGGCTACGTCGCATAGAGCCCAAAATAAAAGCTGGCTAAATAGGTCTTAATAAATAGTTCTTATTCGTTTAGCCGACAGTTCTTGATTCCCAGCCCGCTGAGGTGCAAAACAGAGTTATCAAAGTTGTTGTGCGAATGCAAATTACTCGGGGCGTAATTTAAATTCGAAGCTGAAGATTTGCAGAGCAAAGTTGTACCGCACACTGAAAAAGAATATTTTGCAGCACATTTAATAATTGGAATTTTAAAATCTATTTCTCTATTTCCCCCATTTCTGCTTGAGTTGCAGGTATGTTGGTTTTCAACTTGATTACTTACCAAATGTGCCCCATGGCCAAGCAATTTTTTCCCGTGCAGGCCTGGGACCTTGCAGCCACAGCTTCTCAGCTCCTCACTTCAATCAGTAATCACAAAATTTGCTGGCTGAAAGAGGAACAAAACCTGTACACGTTTGGCGGCAACTGGTCAAAAGGCTGCTTCCCGGCCTTCGATTCCATGGCCGGCATCCTTTGAGCCTTTTGCCAAATTACCGCGCATTTAATTTCCACTTTGATGTTGCATGCGGCAAGCTCTTTTGCCAGTCGATGTGTTGTGCATTTTTTCTTTCAGCAGCGCAGCAACTGAAAAGCCCTCGAAATCCGATTTGCATGTAAATTTTCCAGCTCGTCTTGATTTCTTGCCCGCTGCTGTTCGCTCATAATTACGGCAACAAATTGGAGTTTGATTTTCGGGTGGCAGGGGAATGGGAATGGGAATGGCTCCTCTACCAAAAGTTCAATTGTGTGTGGGCCAGAATTTATGGACACTTTTGATGGCAGCGAGACGACTCACAACGCCAGCGGCCAAATGGCCAAATGGCCAAATTCGATGCTGGATTTGTTGTACGTTTTGGCGCTTCGGAGCTCCAAGCCGTTGACAACATGTTGTTGGCGCATTTCGAGCGGTATTATGATAATTTTATGGGAAATCATTTTGTTTACAATTTTACAGCCCCACGACCGCGGCACGCCCAAATTAAAACTGCCATGTGGGCGGCGCACAAAATGCTGCGAATGATTATCGATTTTACATGCCAAATTACAGGTTGTGAGTGTCAATTTGGGCAAACTTTTGATCCCATGGAAGCGGCTTGAATTTGAGTGCTCACTATAGATGCGTCTAAACCTGCTTAGCCGTGGCTTAGTGCTTTTTCATATACCTTAACTTACTTAAGATGAATTTATGAAGTCAAGGAAGCACACAAAAGTATTTGACTCATATCGAACTAACAAATTAACATATTTATTGAGCTTATTTCAGTATAAAGTAGGATTATAGATGCTACCTATTGTGCGCCACAGTGAATCTCTGCCTGGCAAACCCAATTGGCTGGCTCGTTTGCGTGGTAGAAACCCGTCGGTGGATCGCCGCCAATTTCTGGCGACCCACTCAAACCACCTCTACATCGACAACCACTCGGCTGCAAACCGGCCTCGCAAGTGGGCAGAGCCACAGAGATTCACTCAAGAGGAGCCGCCAAGTTGGGTTGCCACAGAGCAACTACATGGCAAGTACAAGCACCGATCTGGTTTTTTTTTTGTGTATCTTGTTCAGGGGTGGTGGTCCAACACTTTGGTTTTGGGAACGAGCGCTAAAGAGCTGCTGATGCTGATTCCAAACGAGGCAGAAGAAGCCACCCGAAGACTGCAAACCAGTTTCTTCTCGGCGACTCAGGCCAAAACGAGTTGCCAGCGAAGATTACATTTGTGGGCCTTTTTTTGTTCGGCATTTAGCTTTTGGCGAGCTGAACGAATCAGTGCCAATGAGGTTGGAGCTGAAGCTACGCCCACTTGGAGGCTTGGAGAGCTGGCCAGGAAAATGGCTGCCTATTTTCCGAGCTTAAGTGCAAATAGTACTGCTTAAGAAGCCATGCAATCTGAAGAAACAAAATATTCGACTGAGCTATATTGAGCAACCTATGCAATACAAATTTAAAGATTACTTCCAATGCCTATTTTCCCCCTTAAAGAGATAACACAGCTAGAATTGGTATCAGCTTACTTGTTCCTACAGCCAGTGAAGCGAAGAAAGTGAAGTCTGAAGAAAGAACATGCCCTTTGCCAGGGAATATGCAATTAATTTTACTAAAATTACCTAGCTCCATTTGTGATATCCCTGAAATGGGATTACCATAGAGCCGGGACACAAAAAACCCCTGATGGATGGCTGGTTGATCGAGTGTGTGTGGTTTTTCACACTTTTTTACTTCACGCCTCCCTGCACTTGCCCTCGTCTTCGGAGGGGGCGTGGTCTGTGTCATTTCCCCGGCAATTTGGTCCGCTTCTCCGGGGCCTGAGATCATCTAATTTCCCGGTGGAACTTTCCTCGCAATTAAGCACGCTTTCTGCCCAATTTTTACGTTTCACAAGCAGTGCACGCATCTCATGTAAAACGATGCCACATGTGTGCCAGTATCTCTCGGATTGTGTGAATGTATCTTAAGGTATAAGTATCTGTGACTGCTCATGTTAAGCGGAAGATCGGTTTTGGCTCGCTTGTGCATTTCGAATGTCTGGGTATCTGCTCGCCGCCCTTTGTTTTTTAACAAATACGAAATTATCCGAACTGTCGAAAGTACATGGAAAAATATTCGTTTTGGCTTGCATGAAATTATTTTGGATTTTCCACGGTTCTTAGGGTTACAGATGTGCGAGGTGAATTGGGTTCCTGTGGGTGCTTTTCTTTTATTTGAGTTGCGTATTTCAAATAAAATTCGTATCTATTTAAAGTATCTTCAGTTTCTCAGTTAAATTGTCAATTATTTGTAGAATCCATGCATAAATATTTGAAAAACTTAACTTAACTTATGCTATAAAATGGGAAAAATGTGTGCACTTTAATCCTGCACCCTTTGGTTGATCGCAATCTCAGCTTTTCCCTTTCGCAGAAGAAGTTGGCTGTCACAAATATTTCCCCCCCACCAGCGGCTGTGCCAATTTGCATACCAATTGCACCCGGCCGTATGTCAAAAAATGTGAAAGTTTAATATAGAAAATGCTCAAAGCCCCAGGTCCTGCCCCCAAGTTCCCTGCCACGAGGATGCCAATCCATTGACTGACAAGGACAAGTCGTGTGCGACAGTTGACAGCTGCTGCCTGCTGGCTGCCACCGTTTGAATCTCTCCTCCACTCCACTCCACTCCACTCCAACTCCCGACGCCGATTCCAATCCTGGGTGGTCGCCGCCACGGGATGCCCACCGTACAGTAGTCACTAATGGGTGGCTGCTGATGGTTTCTGGAGGTGGTGGCTCCAATGGCGCCAGGCGGAGCTTGGACAAATGACAGTGGACGGCTGCAGCTGATGAATTTATGCGGAAGCCGCGATGAGAAATGCATTTTTCATAATAAACTGAAGGGAGAGTGGGCACGTTGGCAGCCAGTGGAGTATCAGATTTTTCAATTAATTTTTAAATATTACAGTAGACAAGAGATACAAGTAAACATGTTTGAAACGTGCTTAAATAATACATTAAAAAATGTAAAAAATATATACTTCTGCTGGAAAGAAAACTATGTTAAAATGCAAGATATCTTAGTGCATGGAAATCAATTAATTAGCTTTATTTACTGTGCAATTTTGAAGCTGCCTACGTACTTCCAGTAGTGGGCAATAAATTTCCACCGGGAGAAAACAAACTGTCAGACATTTTTATCAGCAATTAATCGTGTTAATCAAATGCCTTGTCAGCATCATTTACCCAGAAACGAATTTACGTAATGCCGCGCGATCCATTACGGCTAACAAGAGTTGAGTGAAAAGCTCTTTCGAAACCACTGGCCATTGCCGATGGCCAATCAATCAATGACAGCGACCTCAGCTCAAGCGGGCTTTTATTTTCGATTTGAAGCCAAGTTAGAAACTCATTGCACTTCATACCCGAATGCCAGGCAAATTGTTGAAATTAGGCGCACGAGTCACCAACATGATCACAATGGCGTGAAAACAAGTCAAAGTTGAGTTCGGTGCTGACTGCGTGACCGGGGATTGGATGTGGGCATGCACTGGGAGAAATCAACCCCATATCCCTAAATCAACCATATCCCTAAAGCTATGATCGTTGGGACTAGCTGCATTTTATCTCAGTGTGAAAGGCATCTATCATTTAGTAAACATATATGTATGAGCTCTTCGCCACGAGTACATTTTGCAGTGTACAGTGCAAGCCGGAAAAATTGTTAAGCAATGCCTAGGCCTAAAAAGGTTTTCCATGCTCGTGCCATAGAAAGTTGTTGTCCTTATCGCGAACCCCTCATCTCGAGTTGTCATGTCAACGCTTCTGATTCCGATTTCTGGCTGCATTCCACACATGTCACGGTGCCCGAAAGTGGAGACTCGGCCGCAGATTGATGCCCCCGGCACAGTGGGATACTTGCGATGTTCGGCACAGTATCCACTGGGGATCCAAGTGGGGAGATGGGGTATTGGGCTTGGGGCTGGGGATACTTGGCTAACTGATGGCTGGTGCGGCTGGCAGCTCCTCAATGTCAGCATCAGTCGACCAATATCATCAACCACGTCGCAGTCGTCAGCGTGATTAATTTGCCGGTCTTGTAACTTGGAACTCTGGAACTTGTAACTGCCAACTTGCTGGATCCCTAGCCCTCTCGGCAGCCTTAACCCTTTTGTTACCTTCTCGCTGCCGCTGGCTGGCATTTATTAAATGCGGATTTAGTTAATGGGTTATTTTTGGTTGAATGTCGCTGTCTGGGCCATAAATCAGCGGTACGAAGTGCGGGCTTAGTCCGTTAATATGCAATGATTAAAAGTGTCATTTGTTATGGCTTCGAAAATGGATTGAACGAAGCCACGGATTGCCGAATGTGTTGTGATTCAACATTATAATTTTGAGCGCAGAATTGCCTCTTTTTGCAATAAAGAAAAATTGTATACATATGTGCAATTTTTGTTGCACAATGTGATCAAAAAAACTAAAAAAATACCATTAGGATCGGGAACGATCGTTGAAGAGATCGCCCACTGCCTCTTGAATTCTGGCGATGGGTTCTGCAAAGTCATAGGCGAAAATCACATAGATCATAAGGAATATACCCATGGACACCAAAACGGAGCTGGATATACGATCCACAAAGCGATCCACAAGATGTAGCATTAAATAGAAGAGGTTTCCTTCAACGTCCGACTCACTGACCTTCATCAATTCAAAGCCCAGGAAATATAGAGTAACTGGGCATATGGAGCATTGTCTTTCTTTTATGGACTTGCGGTGATGTTTTTTCTTTTGACACTTTGCCATGCCTTCGGATGCAGATTCCCCATTCGGAGGTGGAGCAGCGACTGTGTCGGATATGGATTCCCCACTAGGAGGTGGAGCAGTGGCGTTCTGACGCTCCAGCTCAATTGTGGATATATATTTCCTTGATCTGGGAATCCGTGATCTGGGCTTATGTGCTTTGCTCGATGCGGAGCCTGATTCATCCTGATTCGAGCTACGGAATTTCTTTGGTATAAAATCCAACTGGTCGCCTTGGCCCCTGTTTTCATTGTTGTTGTCAGCTATGATAGGCTCCATTTGAATATAAAATTGAAAATTATAAAAAGTATGGCTTTTTGAAAAGTTTCAGTCACTCAAAGAAACAATGTTTGCTTCGGTACGCTTGGGTTTGTTCTGAATTCCAATAAAGAAACGAGTACCTAAGTTTTTCAAGGCTCACTTTAATTCTGTGCAAAGCCCAAATATATAAATATATTTAAAAATATTTTGCATTACTATTTATATATTTATAGTAATATATTGTGGTATTGTAAATGAAATTCTTTGTGATTTTTTCAAAAATTAATAATGCGAAAGTGACGCAGCGAAAACGGAAACGATTTGTCGAAAGATTCGCAAACAATGCGATGCAAAACTCATTTATAAGGGACAGATCTGCCAAAATAATATTTAAAATTAATGCGGGGACAGTTGTTGCTCCGGCTGCACCCACATGCCGATCTCTTCACACCTGTTCCACAAGGATCCTGGCAGGGAAGGCGTGTCGTCAACATGTGGTCCCTGGTCAGGAATCCCGCTGGGCGCCGATTCTGGCCAGAATCTGCGTACTCGGCCACAGTGTGTGCAAAACAAAACGACGCCGCTTTGTCTCCTGTTTTGTCCAAGTTGACAGGACACAAGGCACAACACAAACAGACGCAGGATAATGCAAACCGAACATCAAGAACGCAGAGTGGAGCATCGGAAACCAAAGTGGCAGTTTTTATGCCCAGAATTTGGGTGCATAAACATGGCCAGCCACATAAATACGTCATGTTTATGGTGCCCCATGGTGTGTCGGTTGGACAGTTGCGGTCAAGAAAGTAGGGGTCTCATACAAGACCTTTTAGGTTTTTATCAATACTGAAACGCAGATCATCAGCCTCACTGATAAAAGCAAGTGTTTTATTCATATGCAAAAATATATGATTTTTACAGTCCTATAAAGTAACTAAATCTATCTAATGAAGCACCTTGAGTCGAGAAATACAGCCGCTGCTGTGCGCACAGCACTCCACTACCACACACACATGGCACATCCTTAAAGGATATTCACTTATGGCTCGTTGCTTATTAATGACCTCGCTCAGGGCCTCATTGTCTGCAGATTGCGGCTGCATTGTGTGCGCTCTTTACCGCCCCCCAGATGGCCGTTTGAGTCCTGTTTGAATTTAGCCGCTAAATAATCGGAAATAACGGTCCGCTCGAGCCGGCCACTAACGGTACCCAATGGCTACTGTGCGCGCGCCGCTTTAACATGGAATCTTTATTATCCTGTGCGGTCTGGGAAACCCGGCCCAAGGATGCCCATGTCCCCTGGGTGAAATCCTGCTGAATGAAAACAAATAGCAAGTGCGCGCAGGAGCTGGAAATGCTGGAAGGTGTGGGAAAATAATACAGTAGGGTTGAAGGAAAAATTCGTTAAATAAATGCTATATTAAAAACTTTTATATCATATTTATCTTAAAAAAAGTACTTGAAATTACTTTGTGTTGCCAAATTGCCATTCCTTTCATCGCCTTTGGCCACTGATAATTCAATATCGATAAGACGATCTCCATAATTATGTGGAAACCCTTGCGAATTTCCCCCAAACTTTAAATTTAATTCGTAAATATCACTTGCCACTAATTCCGGTAATCTGCATTTATTAAGAAACCCTTCATCACCCCTTGGCTTATTTACGTAGGTATTTCGAGCAAAAACAATACGCATATAACACGCGAAGAATATACAATTTTTGGCTTATAGTTGCCCCTTTATCGGAGTTATCATTCTCAATTTATCGGTCCGCGGAGACGTTTGGTGTCAAATTTGGGTGTTGACCACAGCCGCGTACATGGCAATCAACGCCAAATTATTTCTTTTGTGTGCCACCGCAGCACGCCCCACTTTCAAGTGGAGTGCATGTGGCATGGAGTGGTGGCATGGACTGGTGGCATCCTTCCTTCCTTTTTCCGTGGGCTGCCGCAGCTGCCCGGCAATTATTTCAGGTAGCCATGCTCTATGTTATCTAAGGTGTAATTTTCGTTTGGGAAGGAAATCGAACTGGAAAGGTGTAGTGAAAGAAATTTGGAAGCAACTTAAAAAGAGGCTAAAAAAGTAAATAAACAAAATATTTAGAGATTCAAAAAACGTATATGGAGAGCATCACAATGTTGTACTGCATTTAGAAGTTCTTGGTACGACTTCATCAAGGAGGACCCCCTTTTCTCTCAGTGCATGACCAGGTCGCATATCGATGGCGACACCTTGCGCCATCATCGCTCGGGTAGATTACCACTGTAAATATTATTAAGCGCGATTACAATCGCTCCGGCAGACGGAACCGTTCATTAAAATTATTATGCATACACATACAGTTTATTTTGAATGTGCGTCCGTATCAGATTCCGTGTTTGGGCCAAGTTATCCAACCACGTTGCGCATGCGCAATGGGTTACCTGGGTATCTGGGTATCTGGGGATCGGCTAATGTATCCGATCTGCGGTTGACAATGGTCGACTGGGGATGGGACATTTTACGCGTAATTGACAAGCTTTGTGGGCCCTGCTTTTATGCGGCATTTAAACCAACTAATTGCCACCGAAATTTCCCTCGATGTGAAAAGTTTGTCGTCTTTCTGTGCCATGTTTAATTATATCCACATTTATGTAAATAGCTATGGTGTTTTTTTATCTTTTTCTCCCCCAGATACACAGTTATGCGCACAATTAGATAGCCGAAATTGTTGCGTGTGTTTAGGTGCGCGTGAAAACAAGCAAAATGCCTTTTAGGAGCCATTCAAAGTACTCAGTGCTTGGGGGTTCAGGGGCCAGTGGATTCGTAAATTATTCAGCAAACTGTCACGCAATATTTGGGCAGCAGGAAAAAAATGTTTCGAAATCACAACGAAATCGGACCACACATTTAGCCAATTGATTTGGCCGCCCCAAAAGAACGCCAGATAAGTCCAAACACGCAGCCACAAAAATAAAGTCAAGCTCTTACCAACAATTTCTGACAATTAGCGGCGCTTTTCATGTTCATTTCGATTCACGTATCGAGGTCCCCGTCATATTGACAATTTGAGCGCAAATTTGTTTCAACATTCAGCGACTCGTCTGCGATTGAAAGCTGATTTCTGAATGTGCCTCCACGCAAATGTATTTCCATTGTTAGCAAATCGAATCGGGGCGAGTATTTCTGACATTTAAATGACATTTGAATTCGGTTAGAAAGCCAATTGGCCGGGTCAAAAATGTTGATTTCCGAGGCAAATGACTAAGTGCGATCATGTTGAAAGCCGAAATGTGGAGGTAAATGTCGTTTTTGGTAAATGTAAGTGCTTAAAAGAGGTTCAAAGATGAAACCTTGGGCACTATATTATTTTCTTAGTAAAACTGAAAAGTTCACATAACTCGCAATCCATTGACGCATTCGCAATGACCCAAAAATGGCCAAGCGATACATTTTGCAATAACAGGAAATAAAGAGCAGCCCACAAACAAGTTGAGAGGAATCCATCGTAAAATCTTAAGTCATAAAAATTGTTCGCAAATTGTTGCCATCGAAAAGAGGAAACACAACAGTGAAAAGCAGGGAATCGCAGATGGTATAATAAGCATTATCAATTTCTTTTGAAATTTACTGCCAAAATGCTTAAGCATGGCGTCGATTTGCTTAAAGAAATTCCATTGGTCCGGAATCCGAATCGAAGCGAAACCAGAAGGAAAAACGAGAGATCAAAGCCCAGAGGGAGCGGGCGGAAAACTGGGAGGTAATTTTCAATTTTCCACAATTACGCCGCCCGGGAGGGGAAGTGAACCGTTTTGAGGGCGGCGGATGCTGCGTGTTTGGCACAAAGTGCAGATAAAATTAATTAAAATTTAATTCAATTCAATTCACTTGCGCCGGCGCAAGAAACACAAAGAGATTTATCGCTGATAAACGCGCCCAGAATGGGAAACCTTCGGCTGGAGTGGCAGTGGGAGGTGGTGGCGCACAAGATCAATGGTTGGATTGTGGATGTGGACCCACCAGCCACCAGCCACCAGCCACCAGCGGATCAGGGTGGGGATGAGGTGGTGGCCCCCAGAGCGGTTCGACTGGCGCAATGGATCACGCCGTTGATTAATTCGCCGTTGTTGTCTGGCCCGGCCATTAAAATGCCATAAAATTATTAATTAAGCAAGTGCACTAGGAAAAGCCACTTGCCAGTTTCCAGATTTATGTGCCAGCTGTACCAGCGGCGATAAAGTGGATATACTCGTAGTGTATGTTCGCAATCGAAGTGAATCCGACGCCAATCGAAGTTCGATCTGGAATGCCTTGGATATGTTGAATTGCCAAATGAAAATCATTCGCTTTTCCCTGCCCCTGCCCGTGCTGCAGTCGCATTTTCCGAGTGCCGCCTCAAGCATTATGGATTTTTAACGAGTTTTCAATTTATTTGCGCGCCAGTCGCGGAAAAATCTTTCGAGTGCTTTTCATACAGACACTCGACCATCATCAAGTGGCTTTTCCTTACTCGAACTTTGTGGATGTGCGTCGGCATGTTGTTTATTTCATTTCAGCAACTGTTCGAAAAGCTGTGGACTAGTCGAGGAATGAAAACCGCAATCAGGAATGTTTTTCGAAAACTCAAGGCAAATAATAAAGGGTTTTGAAAATAAGTGAACTCTTTTAAGTGAACTTCCCTTGCTATTCATCGATTATCATGGCTAATTAGCGAGTGAAACCCATTTCCATGTAACCGCTGCTCAATGAAATGAAGAGCCAAGGAAGCCAGTCAAATTCAGATGGCCAAAACCCCGTGGGCCACAATCGTGCTGGCAAATAAAAGCCGCCAAGGAAAATGCAGCTCGAGGAGAGCAAGCGAAGACAATGAGAAAATACTGAAAAGGGGGAGTGCAAGAGCCGCAACAATAGTCAATAAAACATGCGGCAAATCATGTTTATCGCATTGATTTATGCATTTTTAATGTGTTCGCCGTTGCTTATCGGCAATGCGCCTAAATCAACGGGGCCCCCAAAAACCGAACACACTTTCACTGCAA